AGATCAATAGCACTCCACTCTGATCTCAGGGGAATCTATGCAAACTCTTCCTTTCCTGATTATAGACCAGTGCCCTGCAGGGAATTCAGGTGCTTAGAGGTTGGATTAAAAAGAAGGATATGTGCCTAATGAGCAGATAGAGAAAGCTGTAGACTATGATTGCTCCTGTCTCCCTGAGTGCACACCCTGGGGCACATTGATTCTTCAGGATCTTGAAATATGACTTGAGGTCCAAAGCTGGACCCATTTCCCTTCTCTTGTCTGGGATCAGACCTCACTCTGCACCTTCAACATCCAGGGAAGAACTGAAGCCTGTGCATGAAGACCATCCCATCAGAGATGCCACCCAGGTGAGCCTGAGGACCCAGCAGACACTGCAGGGGGGGGACTGAAGAGAATGAAGGCAGGAGCTTTCACCTGAGGTTCCCTGAGAGCCCAACTAGCCTGGCCTGCAGCCCAGAGATGGTCCTGTCCTTTGCTAGCTTAATTTATTTATTAATGTATTTATAAGGTACTAAAAAGAATAAGTGACCAAGAAATCAACAACACGGGGTCACTGTTGACCATTAACTTATGGTAACACAATCTTAATTAGAAGAGGCATGGGAGGCACAAAGTGGTTCAAATAAAGTAAAATGTAAGTCTGCTTACCTTTGCAATGAAGGGGAATGGGTAAGTCCAGTATTAAGTATAGAGAGATATGCACTGGAGGGAGCTCATTTAAAAAAAAGTTATAGTGGAACATATTTAAGCCCATGTGCATATTGGTGAGAAAGATCTGATTTAGGAATTTCTGTAAAAAAATTCCTACAGGAGAAACTCATGATATAGATATTTCAGTGAATCCTCTTTCTCTCTGGGTATCCACATGGAAAATGAACTAACTTAATAAGCGAAGATGAGTATGCCAAAGAGTTTTACATTGCAAGTATTTCACAATCTGTCAAGATGAAGTCAGCAGGATGGCCGTCGACCTCTCTATTTCAAATTATTAAGACCCTTTGCTTAGGTTTAGAGTTTATTCCTTCTCATTATATTATTTTTTAATTCTTCAGGGTTTTTTTCACTTTTTGCATGTTGTCCCTTGTTTCATTTACATATGAACAGCACATAAGTGGAGATGTATCTGTTGGAATCTCTGAAAGTCTACAGATTCTAATGTTTTCCAATAGACCAGTGTTTGTTATTGAGATCCTGGCAGGGTTTTTCATTCTGAAATATGTGTCTCAAAATCGGATATTTCATGACTTGTGAATCCTTGCTTTAAATGAAAATGCTGTTGAAAATTCTTCTGCACCCCGTGTACTAATAAGTCAACTTTTCAACATATTTCCAACTTATTTTCCTATCTCTCTTAGGTGTCTGTGCCTCTTGATTTTCCACGAAGGAGAAATGTACACATTGCTCCTCATCACTTTACTGGAGATCATATCCACCATACACAAGTATATTGGAGTTTGTTTATCTTTAGATAAGAAAGATTCAATCATAACCTTTTACTCTATTTCCTTCTCTTTTATTTTCAATGCTCAAGCACTTTATTTTTACATTTTCTTACTGGTACCCTTTTTTGATCATTATGCAATATTCTCATGTATCAAAACATCACAATATGCCCCATAAACATATATAATTATGTCTAACAAAATAACATGTATAAAAAAATTTAAAAAGCCCCAAACCCAAGAATAATCATGAAATTATGCCACACACACACAAAAAAAAAAAAAAAAACAAGCAAAGTAATGTTAAGGACGTAAGGAGATTGAAAGGCTAATTACCCTGATGTGATTTTCAAACAGCATATAAATATATGGAATGATCACATATATACTCAGTGAACAGGAACAATGATTCTGTAGGAATTTTAAAATAGTGAGGAAAGCCCTGCCTTATCTGCAACATACCTAGGGACAAGACAATAGGTCAGGAGAAAGGGGCAGAACTAGAGAAGACACATCTGCTATTTCATATTAAAATTTCCCCACTTTGCTGTAGGTACATTAAATATCTCCTCTTGTGAATTGCTGATTTTTGACCTTTGGTCATTTTTTTCCTTTTGAAGTGTATGATCTGTCATATGCCTTGACACAAGGAAGAGGAACAGTGGGAGGGAGGAGAGGAGGGAAAAGGGAGGTATTGGGAACTAAATTGGAGCAAAATAGATTCCCTGTATGTGAGATTGTGTCAAAATGACCCTAACAGGGCTGGGGCTGGGGCTTAGAGACAGAGTGCTTGCCTAGCAGGTGTGGGCACTGGGTTCAATTCTCAGAAAAAAAAATAAGTAAATAAAATACAGGTATTGTGACCATCTATAACTAAAAATATTTAATGACCCCAACAACTATGCATCACTGCAATGCAATAATTACAACATTAAAAATGTAGATTAAGAACATGATGTCACCACTTTGGTGTTTTGGGCAAATTTATTTTGCTGCTTATGGTTTGTGCTGGGCACTCAGTGAGGGTCACTGGGTTTGGAATACTACTAGGACAAAGGCTAGCCTTTTCCTCCTGGAGAAAAGACACCTGGGCTTGCAAGGTCCTGTTCCCCTGGATCCACGTCAGCTCGCTCTCTGCCCTACCTCTTCATGTTCCTTCCACCCCTTTGCCTTATCTCTCCTTTTCTCTCACTCCCCATCCTTCTCTATTTCGTTTTTCCCCTGTGTTGACTGCACAGATTTTCATGCTCCTTTTCAAACACAGGGAAGAAGAGAGGCATTTTTTTATTTCTTTCTTACATGACAATAGTGGGATGCATTACATTCATAATTATCCATTCATAGCACAATTTTTCATATCTCTGTATATAAAGTATGTTCAAGACAAATTATGCAATTATATATGAACTCTTATTGATTTTTTTTTGCATTACAATTCTTAATACCCCTTTATACCACAATTTATCATATCTATGTTTGTATATTAGGTGGGTTCACACATTTATTTATGGAAAGAGTGTCTAGTGGAATCTCCAGGTACCCTGTCCACATTCTTTAGAGAAAAGACAAACTCTGCTTGTTTTGTTGAAGCTCACAACCTTGTCAGGGTGACTGGGGCAGAGAGGTTATGGCAGAAATCAGGCTCTGAGAGTGTGTGAGTGAGTGTGTGTGTGTTTGCCTCATGGAGGGCTCAGAAAAGGCGATCAGATGTTATATATTCCAGGTTGATTCTTAGCAGCTAGAGGACGGAACTTATCCCTCAGGTGGTAGCAAGGAGAAAATCATTTTGCAATCCACAGAATGTGTTTGCAGCAAATCTAAGGGCAAGAGGTTCAGGGTGTGGATGAAGGTCTCCCTGTACTTTGTAGCCTCAGAGAGCAGTGAGGCCAGCTCATTCTTTAATATTCTCTGACACCACCTCTAATCACTCTCCATCTTTTTCCTCCTCCTTGCCAACAGCTTTCTTTCATGCCTCAGTTTTTTGAAAGAAGCATGTTCCTTAGGACCTGTGCACTGACTGTCCCCCCAGTGAAGACCACTCCACTGAGGATGACTTGTTGTCTCTGTTTGGATGCATCTCTTCCTGCTAGTTTTCCCTGCATTGAAAGTACAACAACATTTAACTCTTCCTTTTCCCTCTTAGTGCCCATCACCATGGAATTATTAGGTGATTTTAAACATTTATGCTTATGTTCATTCCCTCTCTTTGGATAATGGGGTCTTCTTTGTTTTAAATCAAACCGATTTCTGATCCAATGTGTAAAACATAGTTGGTACTCAGTAATTAGTTATTGCTTTATTTTTAATTGACATATAATTATACAAGTTCACAAAAAATAACTTTATATCTACATACAAGTATAAATTGTATAACAATTGAACAAGTATTATTGGCTTAATTTTTAGAAACATTTATCATTTCTCTGTGACAAACATTCAAAATCCTCCCCTCTATCTATTTTAAAATAGGTAATATATTATTTTTAACTACAATTAGCCTACTGTGCAATACATCACCAGAAGCTATTCCTCTGGTCTTACTGTATTTTTTCCCCTTGAGAAGCTTCTCCTAATCCCTTTGGGCTCTAAATGTACCTCAGCTTGTGGTGTCCCTCATGCTATTCTGACATTCTATGAGATCAAATTTCTCAGAATCCACACAGGAATGATATCATGCAGCTTTAGTGATCCTGTACCTGGCTGATTTCACTTCATAAATGTCCCCCAGGTTCATCTGTGTTGTCTCCAATGATAAGATTCATCATTTTATTAATAGTCAAATATTATTCCACTGTGTATCTGTATAGCCAATAGCCATATGAAATGTGCCAAAGTTGCTAATCATCTGGGAAATTCTAATCAAAGCTATGGTAGAATATTGCCTAACTCCAGTTGGAAGGGCTATTATCAAAAAGACCAAGGATATCAAGGGCCAGTGTGTATGTGGGAAAAAAAGGAATCCTGTCCTAGAGTTGCCAGGAATGCAAGTTAATGAAGCCATTATGGAAAACAATATGGATAATCCACAAAATTTATGCAGCAATACTGCTATGGGTATGTAGTCAAAGAAAATGAAAAGGGTATTTTGAAGAAATCAGCCCTTCCACATTGACTGATGCACAATTCACTGTAGCCAAGACACAGAAACAACCAAAGTGTTCATAATAGGGGCTCAATTTACAATACTCAAAGGTCTGGATAATTTTTCTTTAGAATTCTGAAATATGACTTCCTAGTTAAAACTTGAGAATGAAACAGGAATTTCCCATCAGAGGTGGCTCAGATCCCTTAGGGGACAAGAGCCACACATGTTCTATAGAAGTTAATTTCATTCCTTTCCCTTGGATTTTAGTTTTCTTTTTTGAGGTAAATGGATGGTAACCAGGTCCTTGCATATGTTAGGCAACCACTCCAACATGAGCTACACACCGGTCACTGAAATTATGATATACAGCAAAATATGTATTGTTTCATTTCAATGATGTAAGTAATATTTGACTAGGGAAAATTAGTTATGCTCTTTTTCTCATTTCTAGTAGACACATGCATATCAAACCAGAGAATGATACTCAACGTTTAGAATTTCTTCTTCTGGGACTTGCAGAAAACCCAGAACTGCAGCCCCTCGTCTTTGGCCTCTTCCTGTCCATGTACCTGGTCACTGTGCTGGGGAACCTGCTCATCATCCTGGCTACCATCTCAGACTCCCAACTGCACACACCCATGTACTTCTTCCTCTCCAACCTGTCCTTTGTGGACATCTGCTTCACCTCCACCACCATCCCCAAGATGCTGGTGAACATCCAGACACAGAGCAAGGCCATWWCCTATGCAGGMTGCATCACCCAGMTKYRCTTTTTTKTACTCTTTGBTGGKTTGGATGACTTCCTYTTGRSTGTGATGGCCTATGACCGGTTTGTGGCCATCTGTCACCCCCTGCACTACATGGTCATCATGAACCRCAGGCTCTGTGGATTGCTAGTTCTGGTGTCCTGGGTTGTGAGTGTCCTACATGCATTATTACAAAGCTTAATGATATTGAAGCTGTCCTTCTGCACAGAATTGGAAATCCCACATTTTTTCTGTGAACTTAACCAGGTGGTTCAGCGTGCCTGCTCTGACACCTTTCTCAATGAGGTGGTGATATATTTTGCTGCTGTCTTGTTGGCTGGTGCCCCCCTCGCTGGCATCCTTTACTCTTACTGCAAGATCGTGTCCTCCATCCGTGCAATCTCATCAGCTCAGGGCAAGTACAAAGCCTTCTCCACCTGTGGATCTCACCTCTCTGTGGTCTGCTTATTCTATGGCACAAGCATAAGTGTGTACCTCAGTACAGCTGTGACTCAGAACTCACACTCCATTGCAACGGCTTCAGTGATGTACACTGTGGTCACCCCCATGCTGAACCCCTTCATCTACAGTCTGAGGAACAAGGACATCAAGTGTGCTCTGAGGAGACTCTGTGGCACAGGAAGATAAAAGTGTTAATTGTGCGGAGACTGAATAAGTTTCCAGGACTGCAGGGCTCAGAGCCTCAGAACCAGAGTCCCAGATTCTTCACTGGAATGTGGAATCAGGAATCGGTCCTTCAAAATTAACACAGAGTTTCCATTTCTTTGATTTCAACTTTGACATATAATCCCCTACACCTTTCATTTTATTGCACACTGTGATCACTATGAAATCCACCTCTTTCCCTTGTCATTTTCCAGCTTGCCTCAAATTATTCCCACTTTGGATGAGAAATACTTGAAAATTCTCATTTATCCCATAAGATATATTTTTTAGAAATAATCTCAAATGACATATGTCATGCTAAGGAATTGTTCATTTAGCTTAAAATATGCATAATTGCTATTCCCTTGATTAAAACTGCATATAACAACTAAAGTTAATTTTCATAAATTTATTGTGGAAGTATATCTTAGAAAATTAAATTTTTGATACTGTGGATTGAAATCAAGGCTGTTTAACCACTGAGCCATAGGCACAGCCCTATGATTATTTTCTTAATTGAACAAATAGAGTATGGCATATTAATTCAATTTATGTATACAGTGTGTAATGATCATGTCAGGATAGTCAACAATTCTATTTTCTTTAATAATTTCAGAAACATGTATAATTAACATGTAATAATTACATGTAGGTATAGGTACACCATCATACTTTAATACTTGTGTGCATTAAATGCTGCTAATATGAAGATAATTAATGCTTACATATCTTTCCTAACGACGTCTGCTCTGGAGAGTTTGACCTCCTCTTTCCTAGTTATTCATAAAAAGATATAAAACATTACTATGAACAGTTCCCCTCATGTGCTCAATTGAAGAAGTGTTCAATAAGGTTTAACTGTTTTATATATAATTGTTATAAAATTGGCATCCTTGATCCTATGGAGAGAACAGGAGGTCACCGTGTGCTGGGCAATAAGCCAGGCACAGAGAGACAAGTACGGCAGGACCTCACCCACATGTAGAAGGTACAGAAGTTGCTCTCACAGGTGCACAGAGCAGAATGCTGGTTCCCATAGGATGGAAAGGGTAAGGGAGCAGGAGGGACAGAAGAAGGTTGGCCCAAGGGTACTAAGTTGCAGTCAGGTAGGAGAAATTTGTTCTGCTGTTCTGTTGCACAGTACAGTCATGATAAGGTCCTGCATTGTGGTGAGCCGTTTCTGTGAACTGTGGCCGCCATTACAAGATGGCGCTGGTTTCCCCTGTAGTCTGTGACAAACAACTCCTTATCAGAATGAGTTGGCACGCTGTGACTTGGCACCCTATGAGAAAAGTCCACGTGGTAGTTGTGCATTGGGGCTTTATCTGCTTTA